TTAATATATCTTGCAGTTTTTCAAATAAAAACTTTTTTGTTAAAATTATTGAAAGAAACTGCTAATTCCCAAATCTATATAAGTAAATATACACATGACAACTATCGTTAATGATTTTCTCAAAAGACATACCTAAAGAACAAATTTAAACTAGAGTATAGTAAATGCTAAAACTTTTTGTCTTTGAATTTTGGCAGTCTGAATCAAGTTATTATATTAAATTTATAATGAAATTAAAAATAATAAAACTTTTTTATTTAAAATGACAAATTATTGTAATAAAATAAAAGAAAGTTTAAAAATTATAATGCAACTTAAATTTAATTGCTGATCAAATATTTAAATATATTATATAGCAGTATAATAAAAGATATTATGCAAATAATATACATTGGTTTTATCATGATTTCCATTTTCACAACCTGTTTTTCGACACTGATGTATAAAATGGTTATTAGGTTGGTGATCTATCCATTTAATTGCATAAATTCGACGCCAAGTTTGATCTGATAATTGCTGAAGTCTATATCGGGGACAACCTAATTTTGAATCATTAATACCCAGTGAAATAAACCAGTTTAACAATAAAAAAGGAATTTGTAACTGATCTTTTGTGTGGAGAAAAATTGCCCGAATTTGTGCATAAGAAGTTATTGTTTTAAGTTCAGTTTCTCTATCATCTGATATATCTTCTAAAATATTTATAACATCACCAACACGAAGCCTTATATTGGATTGATTATTACCATCAACTATAGTATAACTAATACTTTTATACAGTCGCACCTCCATAAGTGCACCCTCTATAAGTGCACTCCCTCTCTATATGCACGCCATGGCTTGGTCCCAAGCTAGGGACTTAGTGCTAAGTGCACACCCTCCATGTTCTACACGTGCAAGTGATTCCGAATCCCGGGTATATTGGAACACCCTCCGTAAGTGCATTCACGTGACAACGACATAATATTGACCAATCGTTTAGTCCCGATTAATTTTAAAATTTGTCAATATTATTATTTCCGAAGAAAATCAATTTTATTAAATTATTTTATACACCACATAAATTATTTTTGTTATGTGCGATTCTGAGAGATGAATCTATGATTACAAGCGTGTGAACATTTATTTATTTTTGCTTGATCAATTATCCCAAATTAGTATAGCCAGGGAAGATTTTTTTAAGGAGGCCATATTAACGAGGAAATATCGCATGTTAATATATAAACAAACCCCATAGAATAAAAAAGTAGATTGTCATGTATCTAAATTAAGAAAAAAAGATGATGATTTCATTATTATTTAATAACAATGAAATCATCCATACACCCCTAATCCCTAAAAATGTCTCTTAAAAGAACAACTCTTACTGAAATCCAAAAGCGAGAAATTTGCACTTACGCTTGTGATAATAAAAGGACTCGCGCTCAGTATGTTGATTGGATTGAAGAAAAGTGGCATGTTAGAGTTAACGAGAGCACAATTACTCGTATCCTACAGACGACAGAAAGAAGACTTGGTTCAGAAACTATCAGTCCAAATACCAAGCGACATAAACCAGTCACCTATCCAGAACTTGAGCTAGCGCTCAAGGAATTTGTTTTAGACTACCAGCATCGAACGGTTCTGTCTGATGCACTACTTATCGAAAAAGCCAAAATGATTGCTGATGGATTAGATATTCCCCGAGATGCGTTACAATTTTCCTCGGGATGGCTCCATAAATTCAAAGATCGCAATGGAATTCGTCAACGAAAGCTTGAAGGAGAAGCTTCATCTGCTGATGAAGCTGCTATTGCTAACGCTTTACCCTTACTAAGAGAACGTTGTTCTAACTACCCTCTTGAGAGAATATACAATATGGACAAAACGGGATTATTTTACAGGTGCTGTGAAGAAAAAAAATATCGCACTTATCTTGCACAAGTGTAGTATTGATATTTTTTTAGGTTAGAACCCGATCGAACACTCGCAACCAAACGTCTTGCCGGGCGTAAAGTGAACAAGGAACGTATTTCGATCGCGTTGTGTGCAAATGCTGACGGCTCTCACAAATTAAAGCCTTTAATCATCGGAAAATTTGAGAAACCGCGCTGTTTTAAAAATATAAAAATTCAATCCATGCCTATGACATACCGTAATAATGCCAAAGCCTGGATGATCACGTCGCTATTCCAAGAGTGGATTCGGGAATTTGATCATCAAGTTGGTCTAAAACATCAAGGCCAGCGCGTGTTACTTCTCCTTGACAACTGTTCCAGCCACAAATTAGATGGCCTTACCTTACAATACACTAATGTTCATTTTTTGCCTCTAAACACGACTTCAAAAATTCAGCCGATGGATGCCGGAGTAATCATGTCTTTCAAAAGACACTATCATCGTTCTCATGTACGGTAAGGTATATTTATTAGATTTATTAAATTTGCACATATTATAGCAAATCTAACTGATTATTTTTAATAGTTTGTTGTTGCGATATGTAGAGGCAGGTAATCGTGCAGAAGATTTACGCATGGATATCTTGCAGGCAATTCGTTTTATCATCCAAGCCTGGGGTGAGATTAATCCTGAAGTAGTTCGTAACTGTTGGTGGCACACAAAAATTCTTCCTGACGATGTAAATGTAGATTTGAGAAATGTTTCAGAAGATATCCGCCAAAATGAAAACTTAGTGCTTGATGAACTCGCGGATGCACTTCGAGACCTTAATCTCCCCTATCCAATGCAGGCAGAAGAGTTTCTTAACCTACCTGAAGAGAATATTGTTTACAAAGTTCCCGAAGATGATAAAATTATTGAAGAACTCGTATATCTCTTCAAGAATACTGACAAGGAGAATACAGATCTAGAAGAAATAGACGATAGTGATGAAATTCCCGTTATTAGTACTAGCACTGCAATTGCTAGCTTAGAAACTGTGCGTATGTTTCTGCTTCAACAGGAAAATGCGGAAGAATATGTAAAGTTAGTGGGAAAAATTGAAAAGTTTTTTAGGGTCAAAAAAACAAATTCATTGCGTCAGACTGATATTAACGCATACTTTCATTAAAATGTAATTTTATTTCGAAAAATATAAAATAAAATTGAATTTAAATAAAAATTCTTTCGGATTGCTAATTGTGTAACAATATCGATTTTTTTATTGGCTGTTCTTTAAGTGCACACCCTCCCTAAATGCACTTGCATGGCCGGGTCCCAGGTGCGTGCACTTATGGAGGTGCGACTGTAATATTTTACTTTTCGTGATGTAAGATGTTCAGTACAATCAAGCTCTTTATTATATGAACGACCAAGTTCAGCAAACAAGTTGTCATCAAGATTTTTCTCAAGGTTATTAGTTTGCAAATCGTGTTTAGTATATAGTCCTT